TTAATTAAAAAAGTTTGTGGTTATTGAGTTGTTCTCGCGTTTTCGTAAATCACAGGGGTTCTCGTTTGAACCTCTATATATATATATATATATATTTTTATCCCTTCAAATAGATAGAAAAAATAAAGAAAATATATTATTTAATATTAAATTGTCCGGTCCCAATTTCGTCTACCCCACCTCCCTCAATCTCGTTCGTCCAATTTTATCTTCTCCCAACCAATTTGGTACTATTATGTCAAGGTAACAAAACATACAAACTGTAAAATTTCCTTTTAGAAATACTTATTTATTCCTAATATTAATTTGTAGTAAATTATTTAAATTGTTACTTCAAAATCATCAATATTAGTTGATTTTAGATATATAATTTTAAATAATATTATAATTAAATCCACGATCTCAAATAGATATTCGAGAGCATTAAAAACTCGTATCTTAATTATAAGGGTTGTGACTTATTGGTTTGAACTTGCATTTTTTAAATATCAAAAGTTTCTGGAGGTCTTAGGTTCAAATTCAAGAAGGATTAAATTTTTTTTTGTGCCGCGGTTACTTTGAGTTACTTATGAAACAGATGGCTGTCCTAAAATTAGTCGGTTTGCATAACGGATTAAATATTCAAATGAATGAAAACGAGTTGGATATTTAAATCAACGAATAGGGGAAAAAATAGTATCCTTTGTGACCGAAATGACCCCGAAATCAGAAAGAAGAACCGGAAAACGGTATGCACACAGCATAAACCCTAGAACTCCGTTGCCATTCTTTTCTGCTCTATCTAATCATCTTCTCATCTGGGTTTCATTTCGTTTTGGTTGTTTGTAATGATTCCATGATCCTCGGAAACGAATTTTTTATGTCTTCGACCATGTGTTGAATTCCTCCATTTGGTAATGATCTCATTCACCGTTTCTTGGATTTTCGAATTTCAATTTCTCTGTGCCATTCTTTCTCCTATTTGTTAATCATTTCCGGTTACAGTGACTTTGATCACTTTGAAATCCCGTGTTCTGTTTGGGGATTCTTCTTCTTTTGTGGAACGAGATTTTGTGTTTTTGTGACTATGAAATGATGATTTGTGATTTCAATTTGGGACAATATGCATTTGAAAGAGCAATGTTTTTTGCTGCTAAGAGTCCACAAACCTTCAATCCCTTTTGTTTTCAACACAAACACCACTCTCAATCCACACAATCACCAGATCCATAGAACAGAATTGAGAGAAACTGATGTCTTGAAGAGATTGAATCATGAAAAAGACATTACTTTGGCTCTTGAATACTTCCAATCCATATCCAATTCGAAGATGTTCAAACATACGAGTCTCACTTACCAAACTATTATCCAAAAGCTTGGGGACGAATGCGATTTAGATGGAGTTCAATACCTCCTGCAGCAGATGAAATTGGAAGGCATCAGTTGCTCTGAAGATTTGTTCGTTAGTGTGATCCGTTCTTACAGAAGAGCAGGAGCAGCTGATCAAGCACTGAAAACATTCTACAGAATTCAAGATTTTGGGTGTAAACCCACTGTTAAGATTTATAATCATCTGTTGGATGCGTTGTTGAATGAGAATAGGTTTCATATGATCAATCCTATTTACAGTAATATGAAGAGAGATGGGATGGAACCGGATAAGTATACATATAACATCTTGTTGAAGGCATTGTGTAATAACAATCGGATCGATGGTGCACGCAAGGTGCTCGTAGAAATGTCTAAGAAAGGATGTTCTCCAGATGAAGTGAGTTACACGACGATTGTTTCTTCTTTGTGTCATCTTGGTAAGGTGAATGAAGCAAAGGAGCTCGTTGAGAGTGTTATCGGAGTTGTTCCTATGGTTTCCGTGTATAATGCTTTACTCACGGGAATATGTAGAGAAGGCGATTTAAAGGATGCATTTCGGTTGATGGAAAAAATGGTCGTTGATGGGGTTACGCCCAATGTAATCACCTTCACAACAATCATAAACACCCTTTCGGATCTTGGTGAAGTTGAGCTTTCGCTAGCGGTCTTCGCCAAGATGATCTTGAGACAATGCAACCCAAACGTCTTTACTTTCACTTCTTTGATTAAGGGTTTTTGGGCGAAAGGGAAAATGGAACAAGCGTATGAAGTTTACGACAAAATGAACCGAGAGGGCGTTTTGCCAAATGCCATCACCTATAACATCATGATAAATGGGTTTTGTTCTACTGGGAACATGCAGAAAGCCGTGTCTTGTTTCCTTGAAATGAAAAGAAGATCGTGCACACCAAATGTAACGACATATGGAACCTTAATCAACGGCTATGCAAAGTCCGGGGATTTGATAGGTGCATCGGAGACATGGAACGAGATGATGACACAAGGATGCCACCCGAATGTTGTGGTGTACACATCCATGGTGGACGTCCTTTGTCGTAATTTCATGTTCGACGAAGCCCATCGCCTTATTGACACCATGAACTGCCCACCAAATGCGGCAACCTTCAATGCATTCATTAAAGGTCTCTGCAAAAATGGAAAGGTAGATTCAGCAATGAAGTTATTCCTCCGAATGGGAAGCTCGGCTAATTTGACAACGTACAACGAGCTTTTGAACGGGTTTACGAAAGTCAACGACTTTACAGCAGCATCTGACCTCGTACGCGAGATGGAAGAAAGCGGAATCGGGCTTAATGTGGCCACATATAACACGATGATCAACATGCTTTGTTGTAACGGGATGGTTAACGAGGGTTTGAAGGTGATGGCGAAGATGGTGGTCAAAGGGGTGAAACCGGATGCGATCACTTTGAACGTGATGATATATGGGTGTTGTAAGTGTGGTCGGGTTGATCTCGTTGGTCAACTGTTGGAAGGGATGCGACAAGAAGGTTGGCGGGCCGATTTGGTTACGTACACGAGTCTCGTGTATGGGATGTGTGAGTCGGGCGGCGTCGAAGAAGCCGAGGAATGGGTTGGGAGAATGGTGAAGGATGGGGTTTATCCAGACATGGGGATATGGAGTGTTTTGGTTAGGTGTTTGTGGAGCGAGATTGGGTATGAAGGTGCAACAGATTTGGTTGATAGCATCTTGGTGAATTGAAATTTGCATGTGGAACTCATTTCAATCTTGATTTAAATTAGTAAGGGAGAGCAGAGTTTTTTTTACATATATTTAAAAGTTGGACTGTATATGGGTTGGATTGACTGATTTGAAGTTGTTTGAACATCTTAGAGGTTTTTTTGACGGTTGCTAAATGGTTTGGTGCATAATGATTAAAAGACTTTCATGATATATCGCAAAATGAAATATCATAACCCAACCTAATAATGACATAACTGCATCGACATATTTAAACAACCATTAATAAGTAACAAACACAATGGAAGTTTAATTTCATAAATGGGTTATACAACAAGAATACAAATTATGATGCATAGTGTTCGTAAATTTATTATCAATATTCATAATGGGAAAAAATGAGTAATTTGTATGCTCATTTTAGACGCTTGATAAATAATGAGTCGATTTTATGATCAAGGGAGATAGCCACCATGACCGCTGCCTGCACCACCACCGGCACCACTACCACTTCCATATCCACCCTCATGTCCAGCAGCACCACCTCCACCTCCACCTCCGGAACCACCACCTCCTCCAGCTCCACCACCACCACCATATGCTCCTCCTGCACCTCCTCCGGCTCCACTTCCACCTCCGCTACCGTATCCACTACCACCTGCTCCTCCGGCACCGGCACCACCACCACCGGTTCCTCCTCCACCACCACCACCATGTCCACCTCCACCACCGGCTCCTCCGGCACCACCATATCCACCGCCACTCCCAGCTCCTTCCCCTCCACCATAACCCCCGCCATAAGCTCCTGCTCCTCCTCCACTTCCACCTCCACCACCACCTCCACTACCACCACCACCACCTCCTCCTCCTGCAGCTCCACCACCATACCCTGATCCACCACCTTCACCAGCTCCACTTCCCGATCCAACTCCTCCATAAGCACCTCCTCCACCACCACCACTACCACTACCACCGCCACCACCACCTCCTCCGGCTACACTACCTTCATAACCACCATGAGCATAACTCTCATCGATTGTCAAGATGGCTCTAGTAGCTGTACAGATACCCACACCTAATAACACCAAGAACACGAGACTTGAAAGTCTGTGGAGTGCAGCCATTGATGAAATGTAATTAATTATACAAGTTGTTTGAGGTTTGCATGGAAATGCATGGAATTTATAGGCATTTGGTAATTAGTGGGCTAACCCAACCACATGTGACCCTGTCCCTATCAACACACAGCACTCCAATGGTTTTGGTTCGATTAGTGGCTTCTTTTCTGTTCCCCATATTTGATCGTTTTATGCCTTCTAAAATAAGTTACTGTTCATATTCATAATTAGATATGGTTTCTTTTTGACCTTTCCATATGTTATAACCTTTTTAAACTTATAAGCAATTTTTTAAATTTCCTTTTATTTGGATGCATGTTTTCCACATATATATCTTACAAAGTTACTAAAATCATAGGTGAGGATAGATTAATAGAAACGTATAATGTATTCATCGATGAATATCTACTTCGTGAAAAATAATATATCAATAAATATACACTTTGAAAAAGCCTTTATGTAACATACACTAATAAAATGAGAACTAGTAACATTATGGAACATATATTTGACGAATATTTATTGATAAAATTTTAGACAATATATATTTATCAATGTATTTTATTTTGCATTTAGTATATTCGTGAAGGAATTATGCACTATATGAAATTCATTAGTGTATAGCATTATATCAATGAGTATATTCATTAGTGAATATACACCATATCAACTTAATCATTGTCATGCATGTATTATGCATTGATGTATTCATCAATTAATGAATACACACATACGTGGATGCTTCAAAACCATGGACCTTGTACTTTCATCACCACCAAGATCATATTACTCACTTGAATTAGACTTTATATATATAGAGAACCTATAAAACAAATGAATTTTACGAACAAAAATCATTCAGGAAAATTTCCATCGGTAATTATTGACGGATTACCTAGAGAATACCAATTGTTCAGTATAATTTGAAATTTTTCGAGAAAATTGCAATGGATCACCAAAGAATTCCTGAGTAATCTGTCACTGATTTGAATTACCCACCAACTTTTTGATGGTTTTGTCACAAATCACCCTTTAACGACATATTTCCCAAGAAAAAGTTTGTAGACAAAAATCTTTCATTTAATAGTAAGAGACTAAATATGTTTCAAACTCTACGACCAATATAGATCATATATATTTAACTTCTATAATTATCTTATCAACTGTTTCCCCTATATCCCGTTTTTTGTTTTGCTCTTGAAACAACAACAATGTTGTTTCACCAATTAAACAACACATGGATTGATTTGTTTTAATAAGTACAATGTGAGGTCGACCTGTTTTGAATACAGTGTCGTTTCATTAACAAAACATTACCTCGATCAAGTGATTTCAAATGATAAAACGTGGGTTTCTTAGGAAACAATGTTGTTTCACCAATGAAGCAACACATGAGGTTGATTTGTTTTGAATACAATGTCGTTTTTCCAGCGAAACATTACATCATCTGACCACTTACAAATGGAGACAAATTAGTTTACTTTAGGAAACGGTTGATAAAATAATTACATAAGTTAAATATGTGTGGTTTATATTAGTTCATAAACTTTCTAAGATATAGACAGTTTCTGCGTATAAATGGGGGGTTCTGATAAAAAAGTTACATTTAATAAAAAGGTAAAAAAGAAAAGTTCATATGTGAATGAATGAAAAATAATTTGAATATGCATATGTGATCGACCCATATGAATAATTTGTAACATCAGTTCACAGTTGTATTTTTAAATAATTTTATATTTTTTCAACAATCTATATATATCTATAAAGTAGAAACATACAATGTTGACGTGACACCTCCTTGTATTAGTATTCATGTCTTCCTTTCTCCTCAAATTTTCCCTTTTATTTTAGGTTTTCCCTTTTTATTTTAGGTTTTATATTTAATCTAAAATTTTACTCTTCATCTTCTACCGTTACAATTCCTTCTCTTTTATGTTTTTCTATCATAAACTTCTTTACTCTTCATCTTCTACTGTTACAATTCCTTCTCTTCTACATCTTTCTATAATAAACTTCTTTGCTCTTCTTCGTCTCTTGATCCCGATAAGAAATTATGGATTGACAGTATATCTGGCGGTACACCTCTCTCTATCTTTTTATGCATCTATAGAAAGATATGAAACAATAATTATAGGTGTTTTACTTCTATTTTCTCGATCTCTCTATCTACTCGGTTGTCTGCAATTAGAAGCAAACTGAATGAGATTAGAGAAACCATATAAGGAGGAGCAGGAAAATTCTATGGCAAAATCAGTTGCTGGTGTGTTTCCTTCATCTCTGAAGTTCTGAGAAAACTAATTAGATGTCGTAATATCTCCATGAGACTAGATATACAAAACGTGGAATGGTATGTTTTCATTTTGAATTACTACCTCGATTTTCCATAAAATATGGACTTTGAAGTCGATCTAGATATCTCGGATTGGCAATTTTGCTATTTTCATTTTGAAGATTGCAGATTGTTTTTGTAAACAGTTAATTATTTATCTTATATTACATTTTTTTAGGACTCGGGATATTCATAGAAGGAAAAAAATAATAATTTCCCATCTTTTTAAACTAAAACATAATTTGATAATTTTTTACTATAACCACATTCCATGTCACAATTTTATTGGATTTTTCATTATAAAAGGTAATATTCGGCTTTACACCTAATAATATACCGAATTGAGATATGTTATTTATAAATTATATTTTTGTTTTTCACAAACAATAAATTACACCTCTCTTTATTCTTATAATAATAAGACAACCAAAAGCAAGAAATTAGTTATATGTCTATAGAATGTATTCTCTGTCATTTCACAATTTAACTTCTTTTACGCTACATATTCATTTTTTTGCAACCAAATATTTTAACAATCTTTTTTCTAACAAATAAAACATTCAAAAATAAAATTGTACCATAATTATTGTGATATCTTTTAACACTTTATATCGAATTCAAACTTACATATTCATTTTTCTGGAGCCAATATATTTTAACTCTCTTTATTATAATAAAATAAAATATTCAAAAACAAAATTGTACCCACAATTATTGTGATACCTTTTAACACTTTATATCGAATTCAAACTTATCGATGCTTTCTTTCATCAATCAACGACGACCGTGCGAAGCACAGTAAAATTACCTAGTTTACATGTAAACCTTTATTCAACCTTCTTGCTTTATCACGAGATTTAACCTTTTTCTTTCAAAGGGCCCCTATATATTAATTTATTTGTCATGTAAACATTACAATATAATTATAAAAGTATTGAACTTTTTTATTTTAAATTCACATAATTATTTTTGAACAAATACACCACTAACTTTCAAATTAGTTATCTACATTTTTTAATTCAAAAAAATTACATGTAATTGATTAGGATAATTTTAAAATAAGAAAAAAAAGTTATATATCAGTTTTATCGTCTCCAAATCCTAAGTCATTCAAACCCGTCATCACTCCTCGTCTCCCTATTGTTGTCCGTAATCCATACACCCATCGTCTACGTTGACTCTCTGACATCGATCTCCCCTTTTTTGATGTATTTTTTTTTCTTTTGATTCTCTTTCTTCACTATAACAAAATCGGGTTTTTGGGACCCTAAAGTGTTTAAGGGGTCGCTTACCAAAAACTTTCCCGGTAAGCACTTACTGGTAAAATTCAACACCACCACTTACTTACCGGGTAAGATTTTAGTTTACCAACATGACATCGTATACAACAGTTTAGGCGGTAAGGGCTAACCGTAGTAAGAGTCGTCGCCCTCACTTACTGGGTAAAACTCTTGGTCTTTGACTCGCTCTTACCAGGTAGTGATGGCCAAAAATCGGTCCCGGGCCGGGCCCAACCGGTCCCAAGATTTCTCATAACTGGCTATAACCAGTCCCGGTTGAATAGATGAAGATCGGTCAGGCTAGTTTTTAATCGGTTATGCGCCGTCGGTCCCACCCTTAAAAAATATTTTTTTAATTTTCTTAATGATATATATATTTAATATATTATTAAATTTGTCGTACGGGTCACTCAAATACACTTTAAAAATACGTTTTATTACGAAAATTGTGAACATTTTTTTTGCGTTATTTACGAATTGAGAATTTGGTATGTAAATCTCTCAATCTTGTTACATATTTATAGTGTTTAGAGGCCAAAAACGACTAGTCAACGGCTATATTTAAAAAAAGTCATTTTTTTGAATATTTTGGGCCGGGTAGGTCCATAACCGGTCTCGGTCTATAACCGGTCTCGGTCCCACAAATCCGACAAAAACCATAACTGGACGTAACCGGCGGTCCGATAACCAGTCCGGGGGGGTCGGGCCGGTTTGACCATCACTATTACTAGATAAGATTATAGGTCCTTACCATATTCATCCGATAAGGTAACCTGGCTTGGTACCCAGGTAAGCGTTTGGTAAACAACCTCTAAGTGTCCTAATAGAGTGTTTTATAAGACTTAAGATTATATACCGAATAATAAAGTATGTTACAATAAGTTTATATGATGCTTTTGGGCGTTGTAGCAAATGTTTTAGAACTTTTTTTAAATAAAATGTCGTATTAACTAATTTATAGGACACTTTGAAAAGTGCTTATAAACCTATCTTTTTATATGACAGTTATATTTATAGGACATTTTTTCAAACAACGTCCTATAAAAAAAAGCTCACTTTATTTAAAAAACTTGTTTCAACGTTCAAAAACGTTCTATAAACTTATTGTTACACTTTTAGATATCACATTTTATTTTTTGATCTTATAAACTTAAGTTCTATAAAACATTCTATTAGGACACTTAAACGCTTTAGAGATCCTATAAACTCTAGTTGTAGTGCTTTATAACAGTTTAATGGAGCATCTATAGACATAAAAAAGATGAACAATCAAAAAATAAAAAAAGGAGATTGATGGCAGGGGCCAATGACAATGATGGGCAACGATATAGAGTGGACGAAGATGAGGCAACGAGAGGCGAGAGTGGTTTGAATGACATAGGATTTGGGTACAGTAAAACTAATGTT